TCCAGTGACTGAGATTAGCACTTTCTAAGGGGCCAAACTGAGTAGGTGTCTTCCCCCTTACCTCAGGATGGAAACAGTTCCAGTTTCCGAAACGCCGCGTTTCCTATTTTCTAGAATACCAGACGATGGGAAAAGTCCCAAAACCCAGTAATTCTGTGTAATAGATTCTCTATGTTTATCACTAGGTAACAGCGCAGTCCAGCTTCATGGCAGTCTATATATCAGGCACGCATGCGCATGTTCAGAGGTTGGTTTCAGTAGTCAAAACGGCGAACACGCTTGAGGAGTGTAATACCTAAGAGCAGGGTCTTTCTGTCCGTTTTTTTTGGGGGGGGGGGGAAAGAACTCGATGCAAAGGATATTCATAAAGAAATATTTCCTGTTTACTGTGGGAAGTGTTTGTCGCGAAAAGCGGTTCACAACTGGATCAAGAAATTCTCTCAGGTACGTTCGAAAATCGCATGATGATGCCCGATCAATTGTGGAAGTGACTGAGAAAACATTCAAAAACTTCTATGCTGCGAATTTCTGCGCACTGATAAAGCGATGGGACAAGTGTATCAATCTTGGTGGAGGATATGTCGAGAAATAAACGTTTCTCTCAGGTTCCAGGCACGCGGTAGCGTAGTTGGTTGAGGCACTATGGTACAAGCCGAAAGGTCGCGGGTTCAAGTCCCGATGAGGTCATTGGATTTTTTTCTAATTGACCTAATCCTTCCAGCCGCACTATGGCCTGGGGTCGACTCAGCCTCTAACAGAAATGAGTACCAGGAATTAATTAAATAATTTTCCTGGGGAGTAAAGAGCGGCCGGCGCGTAAGGCTGACAACATTACCGATATCTTTGAGCCGATTGTCTAGATAATGTGGGAGCCTGAACGTCTCACAACCCTACGGGCCTTCATGTCCTGTTACAGGGATAGCTTTAATTTACCTATATCCATTTGTGACCTATTTACTGACTCTCCCTCGTAAACTAGAAGAGAAATTTCCTTTTGTTCTGTCTCATACACGTATGTTCGCTGTTCATGTTGTGAACAATACAGTCACCCCATATGCCACAAAATGTGATGACAGAACCATTCAGAAGTAAGGGAGAGATGTATGGACTCCATGAGATTCTAATCTGGATTGTAGCTATTACTCCATAAAGCCACTGAATTTAATCTTAGAGTAATGAAAGGACTACAGAACACGAGACAATACGGTTCTTGGTTTATCTGATGATAATTTATCATCCCTATTGGTTATACAGCGTCGAAAGCTTAGATGATAGCGATGACGAATGAAGTAGCCGTGTCCTTGATAGAGGATAAATCCGAGAATTTTGTGGACAAAATAAGAAAATCAGCTCAGTCGGAATATTCGGGCTTGGGGCCTAAATTCGAACCCGGTACCTCTAGAATGAGGTGGGAGTGTTGAAGCTGTGTAGCAGATTGTGGTACATACTGTATATATAAAAAAGTGAACGTCAAGGATATAAGAAATGAAGCAGTCTAAACTCGATGTTGCGATTGAAGCGAAATGAATGAATCGATTATCTCGAATTGAAGCATACGGAAATATAACGAGATGTGTGAAGCGAAAGCTACCGTCTAATGGAGTGAAGTATTCATTAGGAAATTGAGAGTGGGGACACAGGGTGACTGCCAACAAGTTGCCGGTTTCTTAATATTTTAATAAAATTCTGATAGCGTAGTTGGTTGAGACACTGTACTACAAGCCGGAAGGTTGCGGGTTCGAGTCTCGATGAGGTGGATTTTTTTTTTCAATTTACCTAATCCTTCCAGCCGCACTATGACCCTGGGGTCGACTCAGCGTCTAACAGAAATGAGTATCAGGAATCTTCTTGGGGGATAAAGGACGGTCAGAGCGTAAGGCTGTCAACCTTACTGACATCTGTGAGCCGATTGTCTAGAAGATGTGGGAGCCTCAACCTCTCCAATCCTGTGGGCCTCCACGGCCTGTTACAGGGATAACTTTACCTTTTTTATTTATTCTGCTATTAAGAAAATACCCTATTATTAAGAATCAAATAGTTCATTACCGCAAACAAAACAACCCACCGCTTGATACTATTCAAGGCTTACGTTGATCTGTACAGGGACTGAGTCTTCGCATCGGTGCTTACGAAGGGTTCTGTCTTCTGGGGTATAACGCCGTATAACTGACTCCATGGAGCTACGCCCTTCTTGAGGAGCCGCCAGTTGTGCACCTACTCAAGATCTTTCCCCAATTTATGGAACCCGAAAGTTCATTACCGTGTTCACAACAGTCCTCGAGTGATCCCTATTCTGAGAAAGATTGGTCGAGTCCATACAGTTCCATCATATCTAGGATCAATTTTAATATTATACACCGACCTACGTCTTGGTTTTCCAAGTGGTTCTTTCCTTCTGGCTTTCCCAGTAATGTCCTATATGCACTCGCCTTCTCCCATTTGTGCTACACGTCCTGCCCAACTCATCCACCTTGACCTGATGATTCTAATTATACTTGACGCATAGTACAAATGCCGTGTAGTCCATTTAGAGCCAACAGACGTTTCGGAACATATCGCCTCCATCTTCAGGATCCAAAATTCAAGCAAGAAATTAGCATGAAGCTTGCTGCGTGCTTGATGTTGGTTTCTTGCTTGGTTTCAACGCTAAAGACAGAGGCGACACGCTCCTCCGAAACGTCCACTTCAACCTTAATACGTGGCGTCAAATACCTGTAGAGAGAAGATTGGTAGTCAGTAAAATGAGCGGAAGTGTCGATTTCGTTACATCGAATAATATTTATTTACTCCAAATGGTGTTATGTAACAGTGCTTCCACGTTTTCTTGACTTCGGTAGTAGTTGGAGGTGAGTTTTCAGCTTCACGCCCCGGTAACAGTAACATTGAATAAACTGCCTTCAACAAAATCAACGACAAAACCCAGCTTTAAGGGTGAGAAACTTTGGAAACGCCCTGTAGCAACGCTTCGAAGCGACGTCAGCGCAGCTGTCGGCGTCGCGGAGTGGGCGGACAGTGGAGGTCACAGGCGCGACGCTGCACGCCGTTACTTCCACCGCTGTTCGTCGCCACTCGCACAACGACCATCCAGACAAGGACACGACAACGGAACTCAGCGGTAACTAGAACCACAACGCAGTAATTAGCAAGACACTTCAAGGGCCGAGCCAAAGCTCAGGCGGTCAGTCGCCGGCTTCCCACCGCGACGGTTCGGGTTCGAGCCCAAATCAATTCATGTTGGATTTGTGGTGGAGCAAGTGGCACTTGGGCAGGTTTTCTCCGAGCGCTTCGGTTTCCCTTGCCAATTCTCATTCCACCAATTGCTCCACACTCATCATCTAAGGGTCCCCATACACACACAGTTTGGCCTCCAGTTCGGCCTGCACAGTTGAAGACTGAAAGGTAAAACTGACGTGTGTGGTGCGGCCAGCCGGCCAATCGTTTGGACTGTTGGCCTGTGGGAAGCCCGTCAGTCCGTCAGTTCTGCCTGCAGGACCGTAGCACGTGACGTGTGTGACTCAACATTATAGGCTGGAAGACCGTGACTGTGGCATGAAGCTGCCGCTTTATCTGCGCGTGTATGGGGAGGAAAGGGAGGGGGTAAACTGTCACAGTTTTGCCTGTAAGGTCGATCGGAAGGCCAAACTGTGTGTGTATGGGGGGGCCTTACATCCGGGGCTGGTACAATAGGACAATTAGTGGCCGAAGTACCAAGTGGACTCAGTCTCACCCCACCCCAAGAAATAATAATAAAAAAAAATTCAAGCCTCTGAACGTGAAGAGTTCCTCACTTTAATTTCGTAACGGAACCGCTTCGCGCCCGGACCTGAGTAATGCTCATTAGCCTGGATGTTCTTCAACGAATTTGTTGAGTCACGTAAGATGCCATGTTTTGTGAACCATTATAAGACATAATGGAGAGAAGAGTAGTAAAAGAGTAGGAATCAGACTGATGAGGTCAGAACGGTAAGGTGGTTAGGGTATTTAGCGCAAATGAGAAGAAAAAGAATACACGTAAAATTTTGGTGGGGAAGTCAGGAAGAAAGAGACCACTACGAAGTGCAAGTAACTTGTAATTGTAATTGTACTGTAATGGTATTCATTGCCTGTAGTATGTGACCCTTATTGTTCTGCACTTTCCTATATTGTTATGTAGTGTTTGTGTTGTGCCTTGTTCGAGCGTGGCGGATTATTTTGCATATTACGGCTTATTCTATTACCACTGCCACATAATAAAACCAATTTGCAGTCAAAATACATAATAATAATAATAATAATAATAATAATAATAATAATAATATCTTCATGGCATAGTGCTTAGTCAAGCTCATGGGCGAGCCGCGCCATAGCTCAAGCTGTTAATCGCTGGCTTCCCACCGCGGCGGCCCGGGTTCGATCTCGGGTCTGGTCAAGTGGGATTTGTGGTGGACAAAGTGGCGCTGGGGCAGGTTTTCTCCGAGTACTTCGGTTCCCCTGCCAAACTTCATTCCACCAATTGCTCCACAGTCACCCTCACCTATCATCTGGGGCTGGTACAATAAGCCAGAAGTGGCCACAGTACAAGGGACTTAGTCCCGCCCCACTAGCAATAAAAAAAAGCATATGGGCGACTTTATCTTTACCACGCCTACATAACCTTTACAGTGGATTCAGTGTCAAATAATGAGCACAAAACACGTTCCGATCGAATAATCCAGATGATTGTAGGGTATGTGGGTTATCGGTTTGATTAGGAAATAAAAAAAATTGAGTTTGGACGTGCCCAGATTATGACAGCGGTATTTAATCTGTCGGGGAAACAGGGCACATTACACCAGGCGCATGTAAGTGATATCTAAGCTCGTAACAGGGCCTGTGTACAAGATAAGCCCCTGATCCGCCGCTACAGCCACAGCTGTTATCGCTGTATTCCCCGCTTATCTGCGGCACTGAAGCTATTACTGCGCGATGTCTAACCCAAACAGGATACAGGGGAGCAGAAGCTCGCAGTGTGGACGAATAAACAGCGCCGTACTGACACGAGTAGCCATTCAGGTTGTGGTTTACTTCTTCATTTATTTAACTACTCTTAACAATATTTGATCCGATATAGTTCTCGAATTATATGATGATTAGTGAAACACGAATTCCCAACAATTCAGAAGGAAATGGAAGTGACACAATTAAATATTGTAGCGTGTAGAACGACGGCGAGATGGATGAATATACTAGGGCCGCTTCTGGGCAACGACTCGGTAAGTACTTTCCCGTTGCTAAGCAGCAGATTCCTACCGATATGAGATTTGATGATGAAATCTTAGGCTATAAACCACATCAGTTGGTTAAATGTTACTTTTTAGGGACCATCTCTGTCCGATGTCAGACCCTAATGATGAAAGAGACAGTACCCAAAATGTCAGTAAATTTTAACCTATTGATACGGATGATAACCCGAAAAGATTTTTATGAAGTCTACTGTATTACACCTTTGCAATTTAACCGCATACACAGTTGTATTCTCTGAGCTCTTATGGCTTGCCTCATTTCGCACGCGACCAATGAGCTGAGATTCTACTCACATGACCACATTTAAAATACCCGACGCCCAAGGCTTAATACAAATATTTTACTACATAACTTCGGTCGGATTAAGTATTCTCTAGGCTTTAACAGTTGACCAAAACATTAAAATACTGCCCTACGCATATTGCAGCAAAAGAAACTAACAAATAAATATCGCCTCCCGCTGCGGTGCGTCGTCGTCCCGCCTGCAATACAAACATCAGTACGTGAGCGCCCGCCCAGTCTGGTGAATACTATGGCTTAAGCATTTTTGTCATGGTTTATATTGCGACGCTTTCAACAGCTAGATTACATAGCGACGAGCTGTATATTGACTGATGAATAATGATTTCAAAATGATTTGGAAGGAAGTGGTTGAGGTACTATTCTGGTAAGCTCATGAAGGGGCTGAGGAAAATACATATATTAATCTAAGCAATATGCAATTCGATCTCCTCTTAATTTCCTCCTGTATCAAATTTTGATTTGTTACAGTCGTTCCCAAATATCTGAACTGTGCCACATTTTCAAAACATCTGTTATCAAGATGGCTGACAGACTGAAAAGCGTATTCTAGTAAAATTTATAAGAAACGTTTTCAAATTGCAGGTGGCCCTTTCCAACAATAAACATTAAAACATATTTTGTAGATTCAGCCCTGAAACGAAAATTCCAGGCGGAATACGCGTTACATGTTCCAGCCTTTAGAAACCACGTTACAACCCCCCCCCCAAAAGAAAATTCTGTCTCTTTCTGCATTTAATTAGCGCCGAACACACAGCAAGAACGCTACATAGCTACATAACTTAAACATAAAAAAGAATTAGACACTGCTTGTGTAACTAATGTATTACTCCGCGGTACTAAAATAGAGGGGAAGGGGGGGGGTTGGGGGAGTATATGTTCGTAAGAGAGAACGTGCTGGTATTTTTCCTCTCCCCCTGGCCCCAGCCCCCTTTCACTATTCCCCGCAGCTCTGTGGATGGCGCTGTGTAATCAAACCCGAACTGCACTCGCGATCCTAGGGACCTCTATCTGCTAATTACTGCACTAACTCCCCCCCCCTGACCAACAGACTTATACTATAAAAAGACTGATCAACAGACATACTTAACATAAAGTAACGCAACGGAAACTTTTATAATTTTGACACTATGAGGTTCTGCGAACGTCTTACGGCATTCTAGTCTCCTCCAAGTGTTTTGAATTTAGTGATCAACTTCAACGAGTAATTTCCCCTAGCACGGGCTGGCCGGGCAGGGTTCAATTCCCGGCTGTGCAAAATTTTTCTTTCCCCCACAGCTTCCAGGCCAATCCTGAGGCGTAAAATCGGTACCGGAGGGATATTTCATTGGGGGTGAAATGCCCTCCACATAGTGCCGAGATCAAGAAAGATGGAGCTATACCTCTACTCCCCCATATCCTCAAGACACAGTGCTTAACCCATTAAGCATGGGGACACCTTTACCTTTCAGCTACATGTTACTTTTTTCAAGCATAAAACGAAGCTCCTCGCCATTTGTCTGTCATTATTCTCACGTATATAATATTCAAGACATAATTTATTAATTACGTACACGCAGGCGATCAGTCGGGATAGCTCAGTCAGTACTTCGACAGGCTACAGGGTGCCGGAGTTCGATTTCCGACAGGAACAAGATATTTTTTTCTACTCTCCACCTCGTTCAGACCGGTTCTGGGGCCCAGCCAACCTCCTTTGGTTTCTTTACCCGGAGGTAAGGCAGCGGGGAGTGAAGCTAACCAATCACCTCCATTTAGTGCCAAGATCAAGAATGGTGGAGTTAAATGAATACTTCAATCTTCACGGCTTGGTACTTAATTAAGCATATGGACATATTTACATGATTACTTTTTCACACGACTGGCTCTAATACGTCACTTCCTGTTACCAACGCATATCAGCGGTACAAGGTAATATACGCCACAGCTTCATGCGTTCCGGTTTAGTTTTAGGTGTCAGCACCTCCAGCCGATCGCAGTGGCCGCACGGTCTGGGCATGAACTGTCTTCGTTCGCCCGGGCGCTGGGGTCGTGGGTTCCAGTCTCACTCAAGGCATGAATGTCTGTGTTCGTGTTGTTCTGTGCATAGGTAGCGGCTTTTCGACGGGCTGATCCCCAACCCAAGAAGTCCTACCGACTGTGTATAGGGTTAAGAAACTGAAAACGCTGCCAAGGTCCAACAAGAGGACTGTGGATAGATAGATAGACAGACAGATATAAATAGATAGAGAGATAGACAGATAGATAGATAGATAGATAGATAGATAGGTAGATAGGTAGATGGATATATAGATAGATTAGATAGATAGATACATGGATAGACAGACAGATAGGCAGATAGATAGATAGACAGAGAGATAGACAGATAGACAGATAGACAGGTAGGTAGATAGGTAGATGGATATATAGATAGATTAGATAGATAGATAGACAGACAGATAGGCAGATAGATAGATAGACAGACAGATAGGCAGCTAGATAGATACCATCTCCTCGTTTGATTCGTCAGTAAATATTCTCAGCCTGTTCGATAACATATAGCCAATCAATGTAACACACTAATTACTAATTTGCACTAATTTTGGTACGTTATTCTACGTTCGCAGTAAGCGGGCCAGGTCCAGAGCAAGTTTGAAAGTAATCTACACAGACATATCGCAGATATTGCTATTGTAATGCACAGTGAGTGTGTGCACCAGCATACAAAAATACCACAGGGCAGCTTTTTAAAATACCTCCACGGTGTGGTTACATATGCTACGTATTATACCGCAGTTATATGACTCCGTTACCATAGCAACAGGATCGATCAGTCGGGGGCAGAACACTTAGATCATTCAATCCTTCAAAGTCGTGTATTCTGGAACGTATTCGTGATATCCCGCAAGACAAATGTTTCGATGGATTAAAAGTGCGTTTTTAAATAGGACATAAACGCATCTTCTCCACTACTCTATTGCTGTCTGTCCTTGTCGAAAGTATTAGAAATGCTCTGGTGCAGTAAAATTTAAAGGTATCTCTGTAAAAGGCCGTGGAGGCCCATAGGGTTGTGAGATGTTGAGGTTCCCACATCTTCTAGAAAATCGGCTTATAGATGACGGTAAGGTTGTCAGCCCTAGGCGCCGGCCGCCTTTTACCCCAAAGAATATTCCTGATACTCATTTCTGTTAGTAGCTCAGTCGACCCCAGAGCTATATTGCGGCTGGAAGGATTAGGTAAATTGAAAGAATCCACCTCATCGGGATTCGATCCCGTGAACTTCCCGCTTGTAGCATAGTGCTACCGCGTGCCCCCTGCTCTAGTACAGTGGATCTCAAATTATTTCGTTGTGAGTCACCCCTGACGGGTATAAAAACTTTCGAGACACCAAATATATAAAATGACATAGTGGTTTATTAATTAAAAGAAGGCCGCGCCATATTTCCAGCAGTTAGTCGCTGGCTTCCCATCGCGGCGGCCCGGGTTCGATCCTGGGACTGGTCAAGTGGGACTTGTGGTGGACATAGTGGCGCTGGGGCAGGTTTTCTCCCAGTACTTCTGTTTCCCCTGCCAATCTTCATTCCACCAACTGCTCCACAATCACCCTCACCTTACATCTGGGGCTGGTACAATAGGCCAGAAGTGGCCGCAGTACAAGGGACTCAGTCCCACCCCACTAACAATAACAACAACAACAAAAATCTTTATAGTTTGTTCTTCAAACACGCTGTCAGTAGCGAGACTTCATATTGTCGGAAAAAAGAATTACTAATTACTAATTATATCTATTAATCGTTTAAATTCCAGTGGTTATTATATATTATATATTATTATATTATAACATACCATAAATCTGAATTCTGCTCATGAAGTGTATGTGTGTATTTTCATTTTTCTCTTGTCTTGCTATCAGTATCCTCCACTAATTCTTATGCCCTTCCTGTTACTTTCCTTCTTCCATTTTATCTTCTTCCATGCCTTTTCTGCTTATTCGTCCATTATTTTCATCATCCACATTTGTTGTAATCGTTCTTTTTACGCAATTTGTATACAAGACAGCAAAGTGCATTGCATTCACTTTCGTTATTACAGTTAGAGGGAACGTGCATTTCGACTGTGAAATTCACGTAATCCGCTGCATTATCTTGAGAGCTATGACGATCACACAAAGCTGCCGCGTAACACAATTACCTCACTCTGCTATTTTTGTAAGCAGCCTGTGTTCCATATTTTGTTTCCCGCGCGGGTAAAAAGGCAATTAAGAACGCGATGTTCGTCCTGATTGGTGCGATGCTCATTTGTAATTCCGTCACGTGACGGTCGTATGTGCGCTTGGTCGCGCGCTTTTGTTTACAGCGCCTCCATATTAATTTATCGTTCCAGATGCTCTCCATACTAATTATACTGCACAATTCGTATGGAACGTGCCTTCAAATGACGTAATTTCACAACAGACGTAATTTTTAACACAATTAAAATTACAGCTTCTTTCGTGAGCTAGTCTGTAGCCTGAAGATTGCTATCTTCTGTGACATAACGCCGTGCAGTTGGGGAACAAATCGCCTCCATTCTCAGGGTCGAATAAGCTGAGCCTGTCACCTACTTGCACAATGTCATCTTGCTTGACTTATTCGATCCTGAAGATGGAGGAGATATGTACATCCGAAACATGGGTTGAGTTTCAACGGGAACC